CAGCGTTCGGCTCTGATTTAAAGTTTGTCCGTTTTAAATCACACATATAATATATAATATATATAATATATATAATATATATATATTGTGTTCTAACATTAGGATAAAGTTAAAGCATCGTACTGCCTTAATTCACTTTTCAGAGTGTGTACTGTTCACTGTGGATTCTATTTCAGTTTAGGATTGAGTAAATTGAAGCATGTGGGGAAGATATGGTACGCTTTGAATGTTATCACCCTTATGCCATACCAAAGATCTTTATTATTGACAGGCCTCTTCAGTGTCCACTGTTAATGTTCAGATAAGATTCTGTTGTTCTTGCCTGAATAGAAATTATGTTACTGAAATCCCTTCTGGATCTTCAAGGGATTGTCTGAGATAAGGAACCTGCTTCATTGTAAATGCATTGTAAAAAGTCCTTTTGGACTTTTGGATATTATTTGAATAAACGTATCAACTGTTGTTATGGCATACGCACTGTTTTTTAAGTATACTGTGTAAAGAAGTAATGTGACTAGATTAGAAGTTTGGGCGCAATAAAAGTAAATGATGATTACGGAGAGCTACCGTGCAAACAGCTCAATGCTCGGCTGAACAGGTTCAATACAGTGCACTAAATTACTTATTTTGGTCCCTTCAGCAGGGCCGACGCTGCAAGTGCCGTGTAAACGTAATTCACTCTTTTTAGCCTAATTACGTATCATTTTGAACACCATCAGCTTAATTTCCTGGAGTAGAGCCGTCTCTTTATTCAGCCAGGCACTGACTCTGAGCAAGCCAGTATGTTAATATTCTCAGCTCTGCACATCTAACCCTGTTTACAGACTTTTGTTTAAAGTTTCATTATTTCATCCAAATGTGGGTTCACATTGTCTCAGGCCTTTCATATTGCTTTTGTGTAAAAAGTTATGTTTGAATGTGGTTGTAACCAATTTACAGAATTGTACCCTCTGTAGTAGGATAGTAGAATAATGTTTAAATAAAGTGGAATTAAAATGTTATGCTTTATGTGAGGTGTGTTTTTTTTATTATTTTTTTAATCTTCTAAAAACATATTGATTTTGCCCTTTTTACAGCCATGTTTTGGCTGTAAATATGGTGCAGTGCATATAGTTTCCTATGGGGGGCAGCAACACATAGGGTTACAGTGTGAGGAGCTGTATCATAATTTTTTCTCTATCTTTGACAAAGTGCCATAAACCTGTCAAATGGGTGCTGAAAACTACACGTTTCACGTAGTGGATGATGTGTATGATCATATCAACCCCAGCAAATAACAAGGACGTCACTGTCAAAGGTGAAGAAAGTAAAAAATCATCTGTTGTGCAAGGTGACTCTTTGACTGGTGATACCTTGACAGCTGGCCACATACTCACAGCTGTTTTCATGACAGCTTTAAGGACTGATATCCCTATGCTATGGACTTTCTATTTTAACAAGCTCTTTTTGGCTTTTTACATGACAAAATACCAGCAGATACAAATGTGTTTCACCTGGGGAATACATCTAAATTACTATATTACTATATATTGTCCATTCAGGCTATGGGCTTTGACATTAAATTTTATATTGTACTATAATAGGAAATATACTCAACTATAATATGAGTTATGATATAGTGTGTAGGGCACTGACACAAGATGGAAATAAAATCTGTTTGTTGTAATTATTAACTTCTTTTACCGGTGAAGCAATGTATGACTTACAAACATTTTACTAGAATAAGATACACCCATTTCTGTATGGTGCTTTCAAGCACGTTATTCTCACACCTTTAGACTTTAGGTGTACTTTCCCTGGATTCCATATACTCATTATTTCCAGCAACATGTTTGCCTGCATGATCCCTATTGTGTTTGACAGGTTTTAGACACACCCACATGAGTAGCAGCTGCCTGTAGTAACATATGCTACCGGTAAAGCTGACAGCACTTACATACAGAATGAGCTCATTCATTAAATGGTGGTGTTTAACCACTGCATTTATTTATGCAAGAAGCATGTATGTAATATTCTATTTACACCAATTTCCTTTCCCCAAAACATTATTTTATATTCTAGAGCCAATAATTCTTTGTTTTGCATCTATCAATCTGTTTCTTACAAGTAAGCAAGATTTATTGAAGTATTATGGTTTAATTATTAGCTAAACCAAAGTGTCTCCATGTAGCGACACACCTGACAACATATAAAATCTCCGTCTTCACAATCTCTCCCGCCACTTACTTTGTACTTATAGCTTTGCTTGGCGGTCACACAAAATATCATGTCGAATAATGTAAAGAGCTTTTCAGTGGGATATAATCCCATTAACAAGAGCAATATTTTCGCCAGTGGCAATCAAATCACAGGACAGATTACATTGGAACTGGAAAAAGAATGTAAAATAGATTCACTCAGTGTAAAGCTGAAGGGAAAAGCAGAAGTCAGTTGGACTGAAAATTATGGAAGAACAACTGTAAGGTACCATGCCAAGGACAAGTACTTCAGTATCAAGCAGTTTATCATTGTGGAGGGCCGGGGTAAGTCATCTACTTATGTCATTCAATTTGAAACAACCTATTGTAATCAGATTAATTAATTCATTTAATTGTGGAACTCTTTTTACATACAGTATGCTATCAATTGTTTTAGGACTGTTTGTCTTTTGTCACCTACACTGTTTTTGTCCAGCATTAAATGTATTTGCATAAAAACATGATACGCAGCATGATATACTTTTGGGGCATTGTTTCTAGATTTAAGGATATACATGAGGTTACATAAATGCCACAATCTGCATTTAAACATTTCTATGTACTGCAGGATTTTAGAAAAATCAAGACACAATGACCTAACATTCAAGTCTGATGTTTGTGTCTTTGTGACCCACTCACACTGACAGTAAACACAGGATATCACATGAAGCTTGTTCTTAGATTTTCTCCCACTTCTTTCTTCCTGGTTTTTGACTTTGGCCAGTGAAAGTGGACAACTCTGCTGACAAGAGTTAGTCTAAGCTACACATGTCTTAATTCAACCTCAACCTCAACGAGTGATGGAGGTCAAATTAAATATAACTTTACTGCCTTTCAGACGATCTTGTTTACCGGGGCTGCCATGTGTACCCATTCACCTTTCTGATCCCTGCACAGTGAGTAATTAGCCTAATCAACACTTAATATTACCTTTAAATGTCTTTAAACATGACCACGTTTCATTTTGTTCTTTATTTTTTGGCATAAGTAGCTATATAATGTAGTTCCTCTTGATGCTTTGCTCGACAATCTAAATATACTGCTACTGAAAGAGCTACTGTATGTTCACACTGCAAGCCTTAGTGCTCAATTCTGATTCAGTCTTCAATCTTATTTTTTTTAATGTGGCCCATATCAGATTCCATTGTGAACAGGTCATGGTCCTGAAATCTTGATGAGTGATGTAAAAGTCATATATATAGATACATATCAGACCTGTATCTGATTTGGACCACATATGAAAGTGGCCCGAATTAGAATGGAAAAGATCAGATTCCATGTGATTTGTGCTTTTCACAATAATTTGAGTCATATATGAGCAAAATAAATCTGATTTGGTTCACTTTGGCCTGCAGTATGAATGCGACCTTACTGTCACATCCACTCCATTTTTTTAACACATTGTCACCTCTTGCAGAGACCTACCATCGTCCTTCAAAAACTCAAGAGGAAAGATTGTGTACACACTGGAAGCAAAACTGAGCAGGTCAATGAGAATAGACAGCAAAGCTAAGGCGAAGTTCACCCTCGTCCATAATGGGAACCTAAAGAGTGATCCATCACTGATGGTACCCACCTTACAACACACACACACACACTGTGTGTTGGTTTTGACACTGCAGTAATGATAAGTAACACTATCTCTAACTAATTTGTCATTTTCCTGTCAGACTCCACAGCACAGTAACACAGAGAAGAAAATGAAGCTCTTTACATCGGGAGCCGTAGGCATGGATGTAAATATTAACCGGACAGGATTCCACCAAGGTAATTTTATTGAATTATACATTAATTTCACTGATTATCTTAACAGTGGGTTCACAGTTGAACCATGTGTAGCTCAAAGTCCCTTTGCTCATGGAAATGTTTTATGGTCTAAAGATAAGACAACAACAAATGAGACCTGAGATAATATCTTCTCTAGGTTGAAGGTATTGGTCCTTCAGAACACACCGAGCAATTTCAGAAATGTAATTTGAAAATAATTGTCAAGCTTTGTATTCAAATCTAGAATATAACTTTTGAAAAAATAAATATCACGTTATGCTTATGGTGGCTATTGTAAGCAAAGTTAAGATCGAAAGCTGAGCTACTGTAGAAACATGGTAGTTTAACATGGCGGACTCCATAAAAAGAGGATCCGCTCCCTTTGTAGATAAAGACAGCTTATTCTAACAATTTCTATTTTCAGGTGACTGTACACTCATAAAAACATACCTATGAATATCATATACCATGAATGCCAAAAGATACTCCAAAATGCTACACACTGGACCTTTAAGAGAGTAAGAGGCGTGATCATATTTAAGAGAGCATGTTTTGTGATTACAACCATTGTGTAATAAGTGCTGCTCTGTTTTGCAGGAGAAGGAATAAAGGTTGTGGCCTCCATTCATAACAAATCATCTCGTGAGATTAGGCCCAAGTACTGTTTGTATAGGAAGTACAGTTACTTTGCAAAGGGGAAGAGGAGAGTTGAAACCAAAGACATCCTGAAAGAGGTGGGCGACGCCATCCCGCCATCTGCAGGTCAGACCGTCACCAGGATCATCACCATCCCTCCCACCACGGGTATGTCCATCTTAAACTGCAGGGTCCTCAAAGCAGAGTACAGGCTCAGGGTGCGTATCTTTCTTCCCAAAACATATCACTATGTCTTTATGTCAACTGGGCTGGACGATCATTATGACAAGTGCTGACTAGGTCTCAAACCACAGGTCTATCTGGATGTCAAATACGCTTCAGACCCAGAGATCAAGTTCCCCATCGTCGTTCTGCCGGCTCTACAGGAGCCTGATGGGGAGGATGTGCCTGCTTATCCTACCTTTGGATTTGAAGCATTTGCAAGCTCAGACATGCCAGGAGGAGCAAGCTTCCTACAAAATCCAACTGCCTCAGGCCCTTCTGCTCCACCTCCACCCTATGGGACTTATGGGATGTACCCCTCTTTGATGGATTTCAATGGAAGAAGCTCAAAATAAATTTAGAGGGCACAGTGCTCTTTTTAAATTCACAGTATGAGACATGACTCTAAATTAGGAATTACTGCAACAAGGTATAGTATAGTAGTATAACACATTTGTGCTTAATCCTTGTTGTCCAGGTAAAATGGCAAGAATGGTGACACTGAAACAATGTCTTTTTTTAAATATTTAGAATATTTATAAGAATGATTTCAATTTAATAAATTAAGGAACGAGGGGCATTGATCAGCTCCTGTATGATGACTATGACTACATGGCCAGTAAATTACTACACTTGATCTCATGGTTTTGTCGTTGTAGATTATGCCACAAAGAATGTGGATTTAGATATGCTTAAATAAGCAATAAATATAAATTAGCATAATCTACTTTACCACAGAGAAAATGCAGTTTTCAGTATTTCTGGTGTCTGACAACAGAATACTTACATGACAAATGTGTACTTTCAAAACTATAATAACTTTGTAACAGATGGATTTCTGAATATGTAATCTAACCTCTTTGCCACCAGCTACAGTATATGTAAATCAGAACCGTGGAAAAAGAGGATCTGACAAACAGGAGCACTCTAAAAGAGATACTGCGTACTTTTTAATCCCTTACTCTCCTTATATCTCTGTGTAGAAATGGAACTGGAATAGTAAAAATCCCGTATGGAAAAATTCCACGAGATAGAGATCAGTCACGAGATGCACTTGGTCACAAGATGTTGCCATACTCTATTGTCACCAGTGAGCCTGAACGTTTGACATGTGTACTTTCTTTCCACTGGAAAATAAAATCTGAATAAGTCACAAGCTGGTTGTAATCATTGTTCATAGGAAAATAAGATAATGACCTTTATGATCAAAAGTGGGCTGGAGGGTGTGTCTTGTGTCTGCTGATTTCATGTGAGACAGCTTTGACATTTAAGGTGATAAAGATCATGCTCGTGAAGAAAGTGGATGGAAGGAATTTATAAAGTGCATTATGCAGCAACTTTTTTTTGCGAAACACTTTTTAGGTATAAAAAAATCCTTAACCCTACTTAAACAATCTTCTGAAAAAGGTTATGCTTTAAACATATACTCCACAGGGTCTATATTTGTATTTTATTAGTAAAAGCTAAGAGCTGAGAGCAGTTTTTTTTCATTCTTTTTTAAAATAAATGAATAAAAGACAGAAAAATAAGATGAGCCCATAAGGTAATGGGTAAAGGTTAAATACAATCCAGAAATGTTTCACTTTGGTAACAACATGAACATGTTAAACTGGTATAACATTTTAAACATTTTTTTTTAAACATTTTAAATACACATGTGCAATAGTTTGTTACGTTTATACTTTATTTATGCACCAAATTATGGCGTTACACTGAATAATTGAAGTGATAAAGCCTAACGTAGGTTATGTGTACACCAATCATGGGTCAAAACATTGCTAACTTTGGCTGAATTACAGGGCAAGTGGTGGCACGAAATGAAGATCCCATTGAGAGCCGACAGAGCCGGTTCTTATTGCTGAGCTGAGCCAAAAACCTGGATCACTGAATAAGGACTAACATTCCCATCATTAGATCAAGTTTTTGGGGGCAGGACCGAACCATTTCTTGTAAATACGGAGGGGGGTGTTTACAGTTTCGCCGCAAACAAGAACATTTAAATAACCCGTTAGTTTTATCAGTACCCTTGTAACAATGTTAATACAGTATTCTATTAATGAGGATGGGTTAATGATTTAATATCGGGGAAAAAAACCTAAGCTAACCCTATGTTCTTATCATTTTTAGGACCCTTGTCAGTCTCATGCCCCGGTCCTTACTTTCTCACGAATACCCAAAACACGGCGCCCCTGGACCCACTCTCCGTAAAAGATAGAGCTTTTTTCTTTGTTGTGAGTTTTTAAGTTTATCTCTACCTTTTCCGTAACCTCTACGCATCATGTTGAGCACCGTAAAGAGCCTCAAAGTTACTTATAACCCGGTGAATGAGGAAAACACGTTCACCAGCGGCGACTGCGTTTCGGGTCAGGTCACACTGGAAGTCGCCAAAGAGTGCCACATAAAGTCCCTGTTGATTCAGTTCAAGGGGAAAGCCCGTGTCCTGTGGACCGAGACCTACGGGCAAGTTACTGTCGCGTACTACGCCAAGGACAAGTACTTTAGCATTAAACATTACTTTATTGCAGACAAAGATTTCAAAGGTAGGTAAAGTGAATAAAAAAATCGTTTAATTGTGCAGAAAAGAACAGCATGTTCACTTAAAGGCGTTGCATAAATACATAGATCCAATTTAAAAACAATAGTAGCCTGATACAGGAAACAAATCAGCTGTAATGTGGATGCAGAGATGCTCACACAGAGTTGGTTGGTGTGCATGCAAAGTTTCATCCAAAACAGATGACAGATTGCAGTGTGTTCTGTGTAAACTGTGTAAAAAGCTAAAACAAAATATTGAACATAGGATTTCATCAAATGTTGTTAATACATGATTGGTAATGATTAATTGATGAGAAAAACAACAGGGAATGTTTACGGCATTTTATCATGATAATATGACCTGGTTCCAGCTAATACCAGAGAATATTCTGTTTCATTTTATAATGTGATATACACTGAACTTCTTTTTAGGTTCATTTTACAGAAATTGCGATGGGCCCTTTTAACTAATTTCTAAAATTTTTAGGGCTGATGTTTAAATACTTAAGCAACAAATGTTCATTGCTGTTAATTTGGTGTGCTTTTTTCTCTCTCCAGGAGATGACAACCAAACACTACTGACAAGCCAGGATGGAGAAACATGTGAGTATTTTGTAATTCTGTCTGTGGCGAGGCCCTTACATCCAAAGAGCTGTAGTTCACACCTGAAAACTTGGTTGTAAACATCTTCTTTACTTTAGCCTTTAAGCTTCATGTTGCTTTCCAGACAGCAGTGTTGTGGCCCCAGGATGCCATGTTTACCCGTTCACCTTTCAGATCCCCGGGGAGTAAGTAATTTAAATCTTTTAAAGCTGTGTGGGATTTTGTGGCGTCCAGCAGTGAAGTTTATAGCAGGGAACTGAATACCACAATATTTATAGACACGGCTGTGAAGTGTGTAGGAGAAACTACGGTGGCCATGGGACTCGCAAAAAACACAAAAGGCCCTATCTACAGCCAGTGTTTGGTTTGTCAGTTCTGGGCTTACTGTGGATATATGGCAATTCAAAATGGCGGACTCCATGGAAGGCGAGTGTTGATAAAAAAATAAATAAAAACGTCTCATTCTAAGGTAACAAATGCTATATTTAGGTATACACTGATGAACAAATACCTTTGAATATATTTAATTTCTGCTATTAGATCGTCCTAAATGTTACACACTCCACCTTTAATAGTTCCATAATGAATTGGACAAACCGTTATCTTCTCCAGACTTTATTTTAATATCGTAGGCCTACTTGTATATTATCTAACAAAAAGCCATCTTAATATATTCAACCACAGGTTTTGCAACTGTAGTTTCTTTTGATAGAATACATTTCGTTGTGTTATTTTCTAGACCCACTAATTCATTTGAGTGCTTACTTAGTGTATGTGCAGTGCTTAAAAAATGTCTAATCAGTTCCTCGTGTTCTTCTGGCTTTCCGCTTGTGCTTTAGAAATATGCCCTCCTCCTTCAAGGGCTCTGCTGGTAAAATTGTGTACTCGCTGAAAGCCAGGCTGAGCAGATCAATGAGGATCGATAAGAAAGATTCAACGAAGATTAACTTTGTGACGAGAGAAGACATGTGCAGTGATCCTGAACTAACAGTATGTGCCGAGTTACGTCTTCATTCCTGGCATTCCAACAGGGAAAAAAGTCTTTGAGGTGGTGACAGCCGGTGAATGACTACAATACAGCCCTTCTGGAGTACCTAAGGAGGTGCGCTTAATACCCAAAGTGGATATGATTTCCGTATTTGCATTTGGCAAACCCACGCTGTGTAAACACAGCTTTAAAGATACACACAACCAAATCAGGGTTGTTGGTGAAACACTTTTAGCCCATACACTGAAATTGAAATGGTTGATATTTTTTTGTGTCCCTTGTAGAGGTATTATCTAATGGTTATTTAAAAGCAGCTACAAGGACCTTTCATCTTGATTCTGGAACCCCCTGTGGACGAATGTGGTAGTGTTTCCATCAGCTTGTTTTGTCTGATTTTTAGGGTATTAAAAATAACTATATAGAAATACGCAGTCTTCTCGCTGATGGTCTTGTTGGTTAATATAGGTCATATAGAGGCATCAGTATTAAATTAACACTGTTCCATAAGCAGCTAAAAACTCCTTGTTGAGCTGTTGAATTGGCTCAGTTAGCACAGCGGGCACCAGACATTTGATAGGTTAAGTGTTTTCTTTTCTCTCTGTTGTTGTTTAAGTGTATTGCATTATAATTAATCTGGTCTCCTTTCAGACACCACAGCACGAGTGTAAGGATAAGGAAATTAAAATGTTCTCCTCAGGAACAGTAGCCATGGACGTGGACATTGAAAAGACAGGTTACTTCCAAGGTGAGAAATGATATTGACACGTATTATTCTCGTATCAAGGATTGTTTGGACATTTCTGGTCTGTTTTGCAGGAGAGGGAATAAAGGTTCTGGCCTGCATTGAGAACAACTCGTCCCGTGAAATCAGGCCCAAGTACTGTGTGTACAGAAAGCACAGCTTCTTTGCAAGAGGGAGGAGAAGACTTGATACTAAAGACCTCTTAAAAGAAGTGGGAGAGCCTATCCCTCCTTCTGCTAGTGTAAAGGTCTCAAGAGTCATCACCATCCCCCATGATATGGAGCCCTCCATCCTCAACTGCAGCATCCTCAAGGCAGAGTACAGAGTGAGGGTAAGGATTAATGTGACCAGGGGCCTCAATTATAAAAGTCAGCCTAGATTCCATCCTGAAATCCATCCATCCATAAATGGTCAATGCAAACGACCTCATGAATAGGCTGACGTGTGTGCGGGTGGTAGGTTCGCTCTCTCCAGCACCCAACAGCAACCAGCAAACTGTGTCGTGTGATTAATTAACAGTGTTATGAGTCAGTGTTTAATTTGGGTTATTTGATCCACAAACCAGCGCTTACCTCCCACTAAAATAAAACAGCGTACCAACAGAGGCTGGTAGCGAGTAATATATATCCACAATTAGAGGAAGGCATATACTGAAATGTAGTAGTTATGTGCGTTTTAAACTTAATGTATGTGTTTTAATCATAGGACTGAGCTTTATTTTCTCATCTTACCATCTGGCATTGCTGATTCATCTACAGCTTTTTCCACATATGATTTCTCCATCAATCCGAGCTTTTGCAGGGAAACGTGGCACATGTGGTATTTAGTGACGTTAATTAAAATATTAATACTACTGTAATACTGTTGTATAACTCTGGTGAAGAAGAAGAAATAAAATCTAACAATATAACATCAGTGGTGTTTTCCACAGGTCTACCTCGATGTCAAATATGCCTTAGACCCAGAGATCAAATTTCCCATAGTCATCCTGCCGGCCGCTCAGGCTCCTGCTATGGCACCACCACCTGCTGCTTCTGGCTTTGGATTTGAACCATTTGGGAACACAGAACCACCAGCATGGGGCGTACCACCGCAACCAACAGTGGTACCAACAGCACCTCAACCTTTGGATGCCCCACCTCCTTATGGAGCATTTGGAATGTACCCTCCTCTGACAGATTTTGGCAATAAATATCAGTGACAGGCCTGTGAAGGAAGTTGAACAAACGACTGGATATGTATCACAATACAGTGGGTTTCTTTTTACTTTTTTAAAATGTATTTGTATTTGGTATTCTGGTCAGAGTGAAAGTGTTTGGTGGAAACCACCACTATATGCACTCTATGTTCCATAGCTCTTTTGTCCTATGTAAAGGGAAGTGTTTATGTATGTATGTATGCATGTGTTAAAATATGTCACATTTCCAAAATAACTTTACAAATAGTGGATCCTTGCATAATTTCAGATACCAGTGCCTTCTAAGCTGCAGGATTTTGCCCTGTGTGTGATTCTGTGAAGGTCACAGCAACTCATGGAGAAAGGAGGCTGCACTTTTTATATTAGTGTCTAGTGAGAGAAGACTTGGAGACTGTTACAGTAACTTAAAGGTCCACTGTGTAGCATATAGATATATTTGTGGTTATGGAATACAGTATTCATAGGTTTTTATTAGTGTATAATCACCGAAAAACTAGATTTGTGTTTTCATTACCGTATGAGTTGTCTTTATCTACAGAGAGAGCGGGTTGAAAAACAGGCAGAGCTTTCCTGTTTCAGATAGTACTGCAATATTTTCTGTATGATCTTTGACAACACTCTAAAACACAAAGGTGGCTAAACAGTTTCTAACCAAAGAAACATGCTGGAATGCAGCATAGCATAGCTCTAACAATACCTCACAGAAGTCTCATCTGAAGCGGGTCCTAATTTAGGTAGACTCACGTTACCAAACGTTTGGAGCGCCTACCAATCGTCTGGGGATTTCTAAATGCAGGGTAGTCAGGTTATATTGTGAGAAGCAGAGTGATGAATGCTAAGTCAAGAAGTGTGTATGTAAATGATCAAATGTAACCTAAAGTGTATAATCCTCCACTTTGTTGTTTGTGCTGTGACCAAAGTCCTTTGATTATAATTTAATTGAACATTTGGTTATGATTTTATGTTGTTCAGTAAAGGTCTGGCAAAACTCAGCAATATGTTTACCTCTCTGTAATCACCTTATCTTACCTTGTTGGAGTAACATTTTGTACTTTCAGGAGCGTAAATCCTTAGTTTTATGGTATGCAGAATTGTTTAGCAAACTGATAATGAACTGAGGCTCAGACAAAGGAGTGACTAAATTAAAATAACCAGCGGTGGAAGTAAAGCATTTGAATATGCCCCAACAAGTAAAAGTCTTACATGCAAAAGTAAAATGTAACCTATATAAGTAGTATTAGCAAGGTGCACTTTTAAAATAAAGTACTCATTGTGCAGTAAAATGGTCCCTCTCAGTGTTTTACTGTAATGGGGGGGTTGGGGTTTATAGTTTATTTATCTTAAGAAGTGGGAGCCCATAAAGGAAAACCCTAATCTAATCATTTAGTTATATTATATGTTATACTATATCCATACATATAGTCAATACATAGCTTTCAATGGATATGGGGTATGAAACTGTAATCTGAAAAGTAAATTAGTAACTAAAAGATGAATGTAGTGTAGTAAAAAGTAGCAACAATATTTAAATCTAGAGAAGAAGAAAGTTGTATAATAGAAATACTCAAGTAAAATAGGGGCCGAAGTACCTTAAATACACATTCAAGGTACTTAAGTATGGTACTTTATGAAAAGTAATTAGATTTCACCTTCTTTCCATCCATCTTCTCTCCAAGATATCTAAGCACAAGACAGAGAAGGTGACCATGGTGAATAATAATGAATGGATTTTGGATAAATAAGTGCGTTAGGGGAGGAGGGAAAGCAGGGTACACCTCAGGAATGGGACACACCCAGTGCGGAAGTGGGACGTGGTCCTTATTTCCTCGGTCTCAGCCTGACTTTACTTTAATTGCGCATCATGTCGAGCACCGTAAAGAGCCTCAAAGTCACCTACAACCCCATCAATGAGAAAAACACCTTTACCAATGGTGACTGGGTCTCTGGTCAGGTCGCTCTGGAAGTGGCCAAAGACTGCCAAATAAACTCGCTGTTAATTAAATTCAAGGGGAAAGCCGAGGTCATGTGGACCGAGAGGCACGGTCAGACGACTGTCGTCTATCACTCCAAGGAAAAGTACTTCAGCAATAAACATTACTTCATCCGAGACAAGGATGCGAAAGGTAAGTGGGTAAATTAAACAAAGTATTGATCTTTTTTATTTGCATGGACTGGCTGCTGTGCACAAGTTTCCATGATAGAGGCTCTCCGATATCAACGGCATGCTGATATATGTCACTTAAACAAACAAACAAACAAACAAAATCAGGAAACAAATCAGTTTTAATATGGAAGACGGGGTGCAGTACTGTGGATGATGATGATGATGTTGGCTTTTTGCAAAATTACTAACAAAACACAACTTGCAGCGCTTTTAATAAAACTTCCACGCACGTTCAAAACAAAACAGCCTCTAAGAAAGCCTTTTCCTTATTGACTCTATTTGTTTATGTACAATGTGTACAGGTAAAACAATAATGTGACCATGTTGAAGGATAAACTAGAAGAGCGCACACAGAGCGCAGCTCCCCGCCAGGTGTGTCCAGGTGATCCCAGATAAACAGTAAGAGAACACCTGCAGGGACAGACAGTGTGTAACGTAACGTATGGATGTACTCTGTTTACAATGCATGCCTGGCATTGTTGACTCCTACTACAGTGAGATCAGTCCGTTAACGCTTTCCTCCGACTCCTCTCGTCCTGATATTGTCACAGTAACCTACATTCATCTGGGGGGAGCAAGAACCATTACGCAATAACCGAACACGCCCCCTTTTTTCTGTGAACGCGCACAGCTTCAGATTGAGCCGACACCGACCTCTTAACCACCGCCTGTCAATCAATCAGTGCGTTTACCTGGACCCTCCTCGGTAACCCCGAGTTAAATCAGCAGGTTAAAGTCCTCCAGGCGGCTCGGCTCGACGTCCTGCAGAACAGATGACGCAACACGTTGGCACGTTGGAAGGCACGTGAATGTGTTTATGTGGCAGATCGCCAACTTTTGCTTGCGCGAGTGTTCGTAGAGAGGGAGATCTAACAAACTGTGACAAGTTAAACAAATGCACGTAATCCGATTACAATGACATGTAGTTAAAAATGGGGATTATTTAGCAGGAGTTTCATTTTTTTCTCTAAAAATGCAGAGCAGAGGAAACGTTTTTAATGCTAAACATGTTTTTCCGTTTCCATTTTCTTTTCAAAGGTCACATGGTTTTGTTGTCTTATAATATATATATGCAATATATATATATATATATATATATTATAAAAACACACTTGCATCAATTTTTATTCACATTTTTTTCTCTTGTTTTTATTCACATATTTGGTGTTGAAGTAATCCAAAAGTAACGGGAAATAATCGTGCTACCTTCCTGTAATATTGTGATACTTGGATTAGGTTACTGACTGCAGTTTGAACAGGTAATTAGTAACTGTATCGGATTACATTTTTAAAGCAACCCCTCCCAACTCTACTAGTAGGTTATTTCCTATGTAACCATTTTAGTTCTGCTTAACTCTCCACCTTAGAAATATTTAAATCTGCTTTTCCCCTTCTCTTTTACACACACACACACACCAGCTTGCTCTGCCCTGCCTCTGTCTGCTTCCCTCTCCATATATCAAACAGGCTGTAGACCTGTGTTTCTGCTCTGTTGACCTTCGTGGTCAGCAGTATATATATTTTATGTAGTCGCCCTAGAAACATAGGTCACGTTTAGTATTTCTTCCCTTGCAGTCTTTCACAGCTGCAGGTGAGCCACGTGTGGAGGAGGCTTGCCAAATGAAAACCGAAGTGTTGCTTTATCTGCTGCGTGCTTGTAAAATAAATGATTAGAGTTGAAATGATCAGCATTTCCTGCTTCTCAGTTGTGAGAATTGATATTGCTCTTATTAGTTAGTCGATGTTTTCGGTGCTGTTTGTCAGCAGGATTATGAAAAAACTGAATTGAATGAAGCTTGGTGAAAGCAGTGCCAAACAGGAACCCATTAAATTTTGGGGTGTGAACATACAGGAAAACATACCAGCTGTGAAAACAAAACACCTCAGTGGTGACTGTCGGTGTCTGCGCTCTCTCGAGTGTTCTTGTGGTTTGTCTAATGTGATACTAAGCTCGTAAAAATTGCAATTTTTAGACCCAATGTTTAATGGCCCAATAACAAATGTTTAATAGCTGTTAATTCAGTGTGTTGATTTTTCTTCAGGAGATGACAACCAAACACTACTGACAAGCCAGAATGGAGAAACATGTAAGTATTTCACAAATCTGTCTGTGGTGAGGCTCTTACATGCAACAAGCTAGTTGTAGTGGTTGTAAAACCACCAACAGCTACCAATAGTTTCCTGTTGCTTTCCAGACAGCAGTGTCGTTGCCCCAGGATGCCATGTTTACCCATTCACCTTTCAGATCCCGTTCCAGTAAGTAATCACTCTTTTAATGTATTTGATGTATTTAATGTGTTTATTTTTGTACAATACTTTAAATTAGGCTGTGTTGTTTAATCAACCAACTGTATAAGTATTTGAGTGTTTGGTTTTGTGTATGTGCAATGCATAACAAAAAAAATAAAAATGTCCAGTCAGTTCTTCGAGTTCTTCTTGCCTTCTGCTCTTGTGCTTTAGGAGTTTTCCCTCCTCCTTCACTGGTTGTGTTGGTAAAATCGTGTACTCACTGGAGGCCAGGCTGAGCAGATCAATGAGGATCGACAAGAAAGATTCAACGAAGATCAACTTTGTGACGAAAGAAGACCTGAGCCGTGACACTTGGCTAATGGTATGTGCTGAGTTACCACTTCATTCCTGGCATTCCAACAGGGAAAAACATGTGTGGGCTGGCGATAGCAGTCGCATGACCAAAATACAGCCCAACTCCAGATGCCTCCAGGAGAGAGTTTTTGCATTCATTTGCATTCAGCAAACCCACACTGTATAAACACAGGTTTGAAAATGTACACAACCTGTTCAGTGTTGCTGTTGCTGTAAATTGAAATTGATAAAAATTAGCAATACACCCTTTGAATTGGCTCAGTTACCACATCAGAAACTTGAATTAATAGGTCTTTTTCACTCTGTTGTTGTGTACTGCATTATAATTAATCTGGTCTTATTTCAGACACCACAGCACGAGTCTAAGGATAAGAAAATGAAAGTCTTCACCTCAGGAACAGTAGCCATGGATGTGAATCTTGAAAAAACAGGCTTCTTCCAAGGTGAGAGCCCCTAAAATTGATATTGACACTTACTCGTCTCGTAAGGGTTGTTTTGACATTTCTGGTCGGTTTTGCAGGAGAGGATATAAAAATTCTGGCCTGCATTGAGAACAACTCGTCCCGTGAGATCAAGCCCAAGTACTGTGTGTACAGAAAACACAGCTTCTTTGCAAGAGGGAAGAGAAGAGTCAACACTAAAGATCTCCTAAAGGAAGTGGGAGAGCCAATCCCTCCTTCTGCTAATGAAAAAGTCACAAGAGTCATCACGATCCCCCATGATATGGAGCCCTCCATCCTCAACTGCAACATCATCAAAGCAGAGTACAGACTCAGGGTAAGCATCTATATGTCCATTGTTACATATGCACAAAAAAATCATGTCTCCTGAAAAGGGGTTTATTGACATTGTAGGGAAGTCAAGACAAACGTAAAAAGGATATTGGGTATTGTTATGTCTCTTTATGTAGATGAGTGTCTCCTAGTTCTCTGCTTCCTGACTTTGCAGCACAGTAACTTAGCAAGCTTCCTCAGTGTCAGTGTTTTTACACACATCCTGACTTCTGTTTAGTACCCTACAGCTGCATTTTGCAGAACCAGAAGGCTGTTGATACCGTAACTCTCTCATTTGGTGTGGATGCTAAGTCATCAACCATATGTCCTTCTACTTTTTTTAACTACTTCCACATTTTTCAACGTAGAAACTTCATTCAAACGTCAAAACATTCAGCTCAAGTAGTTCAAGTAGGCTCTATTTCTTATTAATACCTTTTCATACTTTCTGAAATATTACAATTTTTAAGACGTTTTACCCCATTCATTCCTTATGGATAATTCTAAAGCTATTATTTGACGTTCAAATCCCAATAAAACAAAAAACTTTTTTACGAATGGAATTACGATGGAAGTCAATTAGAAAATCCTTCAAACCCACTCATCCTCATCCCTCAACCTCTTCCCATGAATTCATACATTCACACAGGAAGTCCATTCACGACAAGCTGGACTTTCTGGCATTAATTCAGCTTTTTTATACCTTTGATAGTTTTGCCACATTCTCAGTTCAAAATTCATGAAGATTTCAGCCCTTCTGCGATTTTTCCATTACTGTGTAATTGCACTGAATGTTTAGAGCTAGAGTGGTGGACATTATAACTAGAGTGGACAGAAGATTCAAAATCGTATAAAAATGATGTCTTAAATTTTTCACTCAATTTGTACATCAAAGTATAGGAAAACTTGTGACGGTCACAGACATGTGACTGTGGAAGCAAACTGACTTACGGGTTCGTCTTTATGAGCTTCCAAGCGTCAGGAGCACCGACCAACTGCCTCATTTACTTCCATTATAAATAGGAGAAAACAGCTAGTGTGGTCACATTTTGGACTCTATAGACTCAAATCTTATCACGTGGTCAGCAGGCTCTCTTCTCACCGATATTATCCCTATTTTGCTGATAGGAGTTACAGTCTGGGCCGTAGAAACACAAACATGAGTGGTGTGCCTCAGCCAAAATCTCTATCTAATGAAGCCTCTCAGGCAGGAGACACACAGGAGCAGGCAGCATCACCATGGCAACACACGGCTGAATGAGATGAGATGACAGACGAGCAAAGAGATTGACAGATGGACAGACAGATAGACAGACAGATTTTGAAGTATTCTTTAACTTTCTAATATTCAAGATCTTGACCACATTCTGACATGTATTCAACTTTAAAGCAATTTGATTCTCACTTGTCTACCTCTACGTTTCATTGTATTCAAACTCATTACTACACTTTTTCATCTTATGTCTAATCAATCAGTTGGAAACAATATTAAACCTTATGAGATATATTTAAGTGTTTAGTCTTATTCAAAGTAATTAGCCCCTTTCCAACTACAATACTCCTTCCGTTACTTCCAATAAATTAAAGCCAGCGATTCAGTATATTGACAGCTCTTCAACACACCTTCAAATCTTCCACCTTTATAGATTATTAATATTATTTAAAGAGTCAGCAATTCAGCGTAGTGTAACCTGTTAAACAGTTCAAATATTCCACATCATTCAAACTGTTTCAAAGCCAGCGATTCATTCTCTAGTTGTTAATGATGTTTTCCGAATTAGTTGGTTATGCACATAGAATGTTAAAGGGGAACTTGGCA